CTCTAAAATCTAACTCTATTTTTTTTTGCTATTATATCTCTAAATTTGTGGCATATTTACCCATGCTTTATGGATATTTGTGTTCTCAAATCTCAAGTGATAAGCTAGTGCATGTGAGTTTACAACTCTTTTAAGTTCACAGCGGCTGAATTTTGACTTAGAACATTATGATCTTTAACTTCTATTTGGCTGGTCTCATCCGTCGCCGATATCTTTTATCTTTCCTAGCAGCTTTTGTCTGCTTCAACACTCGGAGTATTTATAACCATTAATGGAATGGACGCAATAATGTAGGACTTCCTCATTTATTCATCAAAATAAATGACAGATTACTTCCATGAACTGAAGGGCGACATAACTTATTTACAACAAAGAAGTCATGAAAAACATATTCATTCTAGCTAAATGCAGTCAATACCAGAAATATTTTTTGTTTTAAGTTTTAACTGATTCAATTTGATTTTATAAAAGTCTGTGAAGAAACAACTTCTGCACCCTACTCCCAGCTGCGTTATATGGATCCCAATGCACATCCAATTTATTATAGTATGGCACGTACAGGATTTGCATGTTATTTATGATTACAAGCAAATTGGCTCTCTTTTGCAGTCCCAACCAACTTTCAGTGGAAATTTCCATTATTATACATTAAAAAGGTAATAGCAAAAGAAAAAGAAATATAAAACACGGATGCAATGGCATTGAGAAGTCTTCAGTGGAAGAAGCCCTCTTCAAGCTTTTGATGTGAAGTTGAAGTTGGAGCAAGTGGTTTGGTGGAACAAGAGAGTTGAGCTAAAGCCAAGCCTGGACCTTGCCAAATCAAACTGCAGCAGATTATCCACAATCTGGTGCAGTCCAATCACGATTGAAGTCCTGGGATTCAAACCTCCATCCACAAATCCCAGGCACAGCACATCCTCCTTGACCTGCACCATTGAGTTTGCACCAAAAATCCTCCAAAACACGCTCTGACTTTGCAAGACAAAGTCAATGGTAGGAGCTGGAGGACCAACTCTGGTGCTGCCCAACTTACTGGAATTGAAGCAAACCTCAAAAGGTGCTACTTGTGCCACTCTAGGCACCCCTGAAAATGCTTTAGCAAATGCACTAGTAAAAGCCTTATAAATTGATCTTTCCATCACGGTATAGGGATTTACAGTACTGATCTTGGTTCCACCGTTCCCATCTTTGTCAAAAATCTTCAACAATGTCGAATTTATTGCCACCGGTTTTCCGTTGACCTCAATGGATTTCACCCCAATAAAATACTCCACTGATTTCTCCCCTTGGAAGAAAGACCCTGCAGTGCTAACCGGATTGATGAAGAGCGGGGTGTAAATGAGCGATTTGGAAACATCTTTACCTGGGAGAAAATTGTACCGGCTCTCACCAAAGAATATGACCCCCTTGGAGCCCAAACAGATTGCAAACTTTCTTGGAAAACTGAAGGCACTGGCTAACTGCGAAGGAAGTCCAATAGGGCCTCTTCCCAATCCAGCCATTCCCACGACTCCTTTGGCAAGACCCTCAAGAAGAAAGGTAGGGCCACAAGTGAATGCAACTCTCGGGGCAGAGACAATGCTGCCAGGATTTGATCCATCGGTGGATTGCAAAGATACAACGTCTTGTGCAAGTTCACCACTAGTGGCCGTGCGAATGAAGGGGTTGTATGGGAAGAGTCCACAAGTGTTGTTGTTGCACCCTGGCCTCGGGCTGCCGTTGCATTGGCCACATGCCTTAGAATTGGCAAGGTTGCATACCGCTGACCGGCACCTGGCTGGCCTATAAGATGAGCTGATGTAGTTTCGGTCGCAATCCACCCACAAGAATTGGCCTCCCAGGTCCACGGTTAGTCTTATTGCGACAAGCGGTGTTCTTTGGCTGAGCTGAGTGATGTATTGACCGGTTGCTGAGTCTTTGGTTAGTGGAAGGACAAGAGCACGGGGTCTAAACGAGGTTGTCTGAGCTATGGAGGGAGAGATCAGGAGGAAGAAGAGACAGAGAGGAAATATGGAAAGATATGCCATGGTACTGATGCAAGGGAATAAAGGAAGTATGGGGTTGATTACTTGCTGTGTAAGAAGAAATGGATTGTTGCATCTTTATTTATAGGTGAAGAGACTCCTAGCTGTTTCCAGTTTTAGTCTTTAAAGATGTACTCCACCAGTTATTTAATCCGGTCAATTATGGATGAATCAGCCACGAAGCTTTCCTTTTAGCCCTTCAAACTAAACTTTAAAAAAAAAAAAAAAAAGCGTCTTATTCGAGTCCCTCAAACTCAAAGAAACAATATTGATCTCCTTGTTTTCTTTTGTTCCCTTCAATCTTTTGAGATATTGAACATTGTGCAACCGAGATTGTGTTAATTTGACCATTTGCACATTATTGATTGGAAATGCATTATTCAAACTATATATATATATATATACATTCTACAAGCAGCAAGCTGAATTGAGAAGGAGATATGGTACTTTGACTTGCAAGGATCTGATTTACACATACTTATAAGCCGAAATACAAGTTTAATTTACCACATTTAAAATGCAAAAAGTTATGATTAAGCAGGTTTCGTGGACAGCGGTAACACCTTCCACCGGTGACCAATAGGTCCCAAGTTCGAGTCTCTGTTCCGCTGGATTCCTCCGGCCACATATCGTGCTTGGGTCGGGTTGGGGCGCCTGGCCAGGCCGTAGAAAATTAGTCGAGCCCCGTAAGAATTGATCCGGACATCCCTATGTAGACAAAAAAAAAAAAAAAAAAATTTCGTGGAATATGCAAAAGTTGCATGTGAAGATAAAGTTGTGGATGATGCTCCAGAGGTCATGACTAGGAACTGGGAACCTTCCAACTCACTTTAATCCACTAGGGAACGTGTTAAAAATTAGAATCCAATGGCTGAAGTTTGACTTCGAATTTCCATGCGTGATCTTTTACTTCTACTTTGCTGATCTGATCTGTCACAGGGAATTTTACCGGCGTTCATTGGATACTGTTAGAAAATTTAATAAGTATTTCATTTTATAATTCCAATTACCTCGAAAATGCAAAAAGCAAGAGTTCAGTCAAAATTTGGAAAGATTACTGCTATGATTTGAACAATGATAAGCATATAAAGTCCTTCCTGTCGGCATTCACTTGTTCTTCTCTCTGAGTAATCGGGGCAAAATTATTCGCTAAACCTGAAAATTCGTCATATCCGATATACAAATTAGGATATCAGATTTTTATTATTTGATTGGGTCAAAAGAGGTCGGGTACACGCTAAGATGCGAGGCGGGTTAGGGTCACATAATTAAAAAATTCGCTGGTATCCGATCCGCCCCGCATATATATATTTTTTATTTTTATTTTTATACACACAATATAAAATAATAATTTAGAACTAAATAAATAATTTTATTGAACAAATTGCATTACAAATATGAGATACTATAGTTTATTTACAAGATTCATTTGTAAAGGTCATGATCTTATATTTTATAGAAAAAAGTTTAATTAATGCGGAACATATATATTAAAAATTGTGCTACTTATTTCAAACTTTTATTGATTTTGAATTCTTTTAATTTTTTTCTTTTATCTTATGTTCTCTTCACATGCTTGTTTCTTGGTGGGAAACCTTTTTTTAGAAAATTTTTTTAATTAAATCTTAGATGAATATGTAAAATATAAAATTAAATTTATATAAATTATTTTTTTAAAAAATATTAAATGATAAATGGGGCCGGGCGGGTACTCACTGACCTGACCCTATCTTAGTGAATACCCTATAATCGAGTACCCACTGATATGCGAGACGGGTAAGGGTCAGAAAATGACTGACCCATAAGATGCGGGTCGGGTCAACCAAATGATGAATAGGACGGGTATCCGACCCGCGCCCACCCCTAGTAATCGAGCTTTGCATAATAATGCTCCAATAATTAAAGAAGGCAAGTCGTACACTCCATCACTAGTGAGATTACAGTATGGTGCGTAAATACACAATAATTAGGAGAAAATGCGTGTGTGTGATTTTTTTTTTAGGGTTAAAAATAAAAAAAGTCTCATGTGGTATACCTAATACACAAAAAAACCTCTTGTGGTTTCAAAACATATAAAACGACACCTCATGTTTTGAACTAAATTATAAACTAACAAAATTCGTTAAAATTAACGAAAATGACGGTCTCGACTGTTAAACTTATCGGATTTCGTTAAATTTACCGGATTTCGTTAAGTTTAACGAATTCTGTTAGTTTATAATATAGTTCAAAATATGAGGTGTCGTTTTTGTATGTTTTGAAACTACAGAGGAATTTTTTATGTATTAGATGTACAACAGGGGTTTTTTATGTTTTTAACCATTTTTTTTATTATAACGATAACATTTATATAATTTAACCTATTCTATTTTACAGAGAATGGGAGTCTAAAGAGATTGTATAAAGAACTATCAGATTTACGGATCCGACTAAATCAAAGAAAACCGACTAGACCCGACAGACCCGAAAGTGTGTGTGATCTTTTTTTTTTCCGAAAGTGCGTGTGATCAATCATTGTTTTTTGGTTTTTGTTATTTTTCATGCACACAACTTTATCATCTTCTCTATCATATCCATCATTTTTTCTTTTTTAAAAGGAAGAAGACAGTGCAAATTTACTAAAATGAAAAAGGAGTAAATGTGGACTCGACTGATTCGTGACTGCAAATGCCCAAGGGATGACGCTAGTCCCATTCTTGCCTTGAAAAGCCCCAATCGGCCCCCTTTGATTTCAACAAATATGAAATCCTGTTCCTGCCGGCAGTTACTTTTACGTCGTCTAGTCATTTTCGTTGCGCTTGGATGATATAATACTCTTAATCAAAGAAGGTTGCCCTACACTCCATTGTTGTTGAGATGATAATAATAACAATAGCCACTTGTCCAAGCCCAACCCAATCCCGAACCAGAGTAGACTTTCAGTCCCATTTTCCCATTCTTTATCTGGCCTTTTAATTTAGACGATCAAGGCCCAGACTAAGTCAAGCCTGAGAGAGTTAAAGCATTTCTTTTTTCCCTCTCTTTAACACATTTCCTCAAATTTCTCCATTGAAACTTCAACGAATTGTCGATTCTAGCAAATAATTGGTCATCCTGCGCCAGCCAACGTTTACTTTTGTAAAGAGAAAACAACATAATAAGAAAATTTTGATGCCATCATTTCTATACTGTTAATCAGAAAAAGGAAATTTTCTTGCTTTTTACATTAACTTTAATAACTACAACAAAGCTGTAAATCTGCAGTTATGGCTGAGAATCTTAATCCGACAAAGTTGGAATACTATGAAGAAATGTGGAAGCTTCAATCTAATGCAACTCTCCTCTCTTCATTCCAGGTTAGTTTAATACTTGCTCATATCAGTCAGTGATGGCTAGAAACACACAGTCCACGCACTGAAACTTGATACTACTGCTAAACAAGTTAACATGTATGATAATCATGGACAATCTAGTAAGAGGTTGACGGGTTTTGTTTATTTTTGGAAATGATTATCGGGTTCAATCCAATTTGGTAGGGTGAGGATGGTAAACAAGTGTTAATATTGGACTCCACCATTTTTCATCCACAAGGCGGTGGCCAACCTGCAGATACTGGTTTCATTTTCAATTCTGACTTCAAGTTTTCTGTTCAAGGCGTTCGATCGAAGGACAAAATAGTATGCTTTTTCAATTTTAGATTTTACTTGTTATCCCCTCATATTGCTATGTTGGTCAAGTTTAAATTTTTTTTCTTTTTTATTGCTTTATCTGTCTCCTTCCTTATCAAAGTTATTGCTTGCTTGAAAATTAAAAGGTGTACCATTATGGTTTCTTCGAGAACTCTGAAAATGCGGTGTTGGAATCGAAAATTGAAAAAGGAGCTGAAGTGTTATTGCAGGTTGATGGAGAAAGGCGAAAGCTCAATTCCAGGTATGCCACCGTCGGGAATTAATCCCAGTCCTTTTGACCCTTTGTATGATAAGTTGGTTGCTGTGATATCTGATGTTTGTATGCTTTTTCTTTTTCTGATCCAGGGTTATTTACTCAAAACATTGTTTTTTTGCATTGAAAATTAGATAAATTTTTATATCTTTGGAAGATCAACTTTCTTTGTTGAAAGTTAGATGCATATATGATAATTATTGTGTGTGCCATTTTTAGTGGATCGACTTCATTCAGCCAAAAGGGAAAAAACATTCTCTTCTTCCATTCTCACGATGGCTCAGCAAATATAATCTCCCCACCATGAATGAATAAATAATCGAATTGCACTTGTGGACTTTCCCATATGTACAAGGTTGGGAGTTTCTCTAAAAAATTTTACAGGTTGATTGATCAGACTTTGGGTAAAGGAGTTAAAGCTGCTGTCTGTAGCACTTATAATGAGAAGGCAATATCCTTCACAGGTTTCAAAGTTTTGATTGATGTTTAAAGATCCAAAAAACTAGCATTCCAATTTGCTTGCTTATGATTTGTGCTTCTTTTTTAATCCCTAGTGACTATCATTATATTTGTTTTGAATGCTTTACGTATCAATATTTTGGTGTCTGCTCATTCAAGCACTACTGCACTTTTGCTGTATATTTTGGATCACTATAAAAAGTGGAGCATGTGTGTAGGTGAGAATTGGCATAAGATGCTCCGATTTCAGGTCTCTTCTATGGTTATGGTGATAAAGGAATAAGATGCTCTGATAATTTTTGGCTGAATGAAGTCCATTTGATCTTCAAAACATGTAGTGCACTAGTCATGGAAAACTAAGAAATCCATCAATTTTTATTTGATTTTTTAAAAGAAAGTGCAATGTGGAATTCAAATCCAATCCAGGAAATGGCTGCAGACTAGGTTGTAGGCAGATCTTTTACACGTTGCTTAATCTAATTCTTTCTTTACTTGTTTGCATCTGAGAAATTGTACTATTAGACAGTAGTTTTGAATAGCTTTGATAGCTACAATCTTCAGCTTTTCAATATGATTGTTTGCAATATCCTGCTGAATTTGGAGTTATTGTTACTACTGTTTTGGTATTCTTTGTAGCCATGGTTTATTTTTCTAAGCCAATAGAACTTTTTCAGGTTACATTCAGCTGGGCATCTTCTGGATGCATGCACAGCAATTGTGGGATTAGGTCATTTAGCGCCTGGCAAAGGTTACCACTTCCCTGCTGGGTATGGATTTGGATCACATAGATGAACTTAAGGCTTATGCTTATTGTGTGGCATATAAATGCTGATTCTGCATGAATGTATTGTGTCTGCTATTTCAGGAAGTTTGTACATATGTTGGCTTTCTTCTATCGCATGCATCCATTTTACGTTTCTCCGAGGCATTGATATCTCATAAGAGTGAGCTTGATATGAGAGGGAAGAATTAACTGGCAGCATATGATACTGGAAAAGGAACTATAAAATCATTGAGGGGCTATCATTGTCATTAAGATGTTCCAATCATGTTTTGATCCTCCATACTCCTAATCATATAACCATGTGGACGATTAACAGTGTGGCCACATCAAAATGTCGAACATACTATTCTTGTCTCTTAGTTGTGGCCGACAATGTAGAGAATTCCAAATTGACAAACAGCAAAAGCTAGAGGACGAAAAATAAGCTCATTTCCAAGTTGTTACGACATGTTCTTTATCTGTGTTTCAAGAGCATACTTAATCTGTTCACCCAACGAGCTTCCATTTTTTTGACCTTACCGCAGCATGATGTGTTGTCCATTGATCTAAAAGGAATCACCCCCGTGCAATCAATGATATTTTGTTTTTCAGGTCTCTGGAACACTTCCATGCATCAATTACCCTTAACTTGGTTGTTCTGTGACCGAAAAACATTTTAATGATCATGTAAATGTCCAGTTTTATTGCTTATTTGCCTTAGCAGGGTGCCATTTTAAATTTTTGTCAGGCCGTATGTGGAATATAAAGGAACAGTTCCACAGAACGAATTGCAGAGTAAGCAGCAGCAATTAGAGCTAGAAGCTAACAACTTGATTGCCAAGGGTGGGAAAGTAAGTTTTCTTTTTCTTTCGTCTTGAACCAGAAAAGTGAATAACCATGTTTGTAAACACTGCATATGACTTTCAGGTTTTTGCTTCAGTTTTACCATACAATGAAGCTGCTGCGCTGTGCGATGGCTGCCTCCCTGACTACATCCCCAAGGTAAGCTTCTATTGTTGCATATAGGTTACCTGCAACCAACTACTTTCCCTATATCAGTATTTCAGCATATGAGCTATAAAATTTTTGTCTGAACCCTTCTAAGAAAAACTTTTACAACAACTAAAATGAAACTTCAGTAATGGACAAATTTGGTGAATATTCTCTTAGGTCGATGAATCATTTACAATGTAATTGGAATCCTTTCTGTGTGTGTCATAGTCAAACGCTATCATTGAGATATCAATGCACTCATGACATATTTCTGTTATCTGATAAAGATGCTGTATTGGTAAAAGATCCAAACTCCAAAACGCTGTCAAACCATGTGGTCCATGGATCCTGGGGATCTATGATTTGCTGGTTGTGTGCAGCCTTATTTTTCAAGGAGATGGTATTTTCGTTGGACACACAAGTAAGAAAGCAAAGGAGAGATAGATGACTAAAATATTGGCTGACTAGTATTATCTTTTCTTATTACCTTCATCAATGACTTGCCTGTCTCTGTTTGGGCAGATTTCGTACCATAACCCTTTCCAGTACCAAAGGTACTATTTATCATATTCTTGCACTTTACAATCATGCAGGGAAGCAATCCTCGAATTATTAAGTTAGGAGAACAGCCTGGATGTCCCTGTGGCGGCACACATGTTTCTGACATTTCAGAAATATTGGGCGTGAAGGTACTTATATCGATTTAATCCGGACGGTTAGTTCAATATATTATGATTTAGGAAGGCCTAAGTTCTTGTGCAATCACCAATTCTTTCTCATCCAGGTTTCTCAAATTCGAGTGAAGAAGGGGATGACTAAAGTTTTCTACAATGTTGAGCCCTAGGAAACGTTGGTGGCCTACCAGTAGCTTTTGGAATCTGAAGGTGACATTGGTTATTCAGAAGATAAATATTGAATAATCAGGGATGGCATCATTATAAGTTCAGCTTAAGTGAGCATTTTGCAATGTCAGTATTAACTGGGGGTATTTATTTGCTTGATTATATTCAAGAACAGTTACGCTTGAACCAACTTGCTGGTCGGCAATGTGCCTGGTCAAATAATACCACGACGTGCTTCATTTCTCTTTTGCTTGTTCTTCTGCTTCTGCTTCAAAGTTTGCTGCTTTTTGGGGCATATACTGCCAATGGGGGTTTTGGAGCCACTTTGAAAGGTAGCTTTTTTGTCTACTTTATTCAATAAGCACATCAATCACCTTCCGATGGAGCTTGAAATGAATGAACTGGGGTCTTCAAGGTACTATGCATGATAGCCATAAGACAGCTATTCCAGTGGTTTTAATTACCATTCATCCTGCTGAGGCTTACAGATTTGTCCATATACTAACCTATGGACCCTGAAACCATCTAAATTGAGGCTCTGGGCTCCTTCACTGTCCTCATCTGTGTCCCTACCATATATCGGCGATGTAAATTGGCTGCTACTCCCCTCCGCTACAAAAACTTGTTGTTTACATGAAATGAAATGGATATTTTGTGGATGGAAAATTAGGATAATCTGAAAGGTCCACACCGAAATTTTCTTCCAGATAAGCAAGCAGTCCTCAGTGCCTCCAATCTCACTTTTTGTTCTCTCTGTTTTTGTTTCATGATATCGAAAATATAAGCAGCCATATTTGTTATAGTAGTTCTTTTACGTTCAAATACAAACACTAAACTCTGCTGGAGATGGAATAGAAAAGAAAATGATATGACTATGCATTGTCCAATTATGCTGAAGTAATAACTTTTTGTTACGAATACAGTTTGTTTCCCTATCAAGGGAAGGGACTCGCGACCGCCACAACACTCTTATCTAAACAGCTTCTCTACACCATGAAAAGCCCCAATAAAATCGCCAATACTAGAATCCACACGCTAATATGATTTAGGTCCTATTTGATAATTCAATATTTAAATTTAATGGATTCAATTCATAACATCTTTAGACGCGTTTGATAACAAGAAATAGAACGTTTAAAAAAGTAATTTAATTTTTGCTAGATAAAACTTGCTTAAAAAATAAGTGATAAGTAATTCAATTATCACTTAATGTGATATATCTTCAAATACACAATTCAGTAATTTAATGAAATCAGAATTCAAATTTCAAATTTTAATTTTATTAAACATGCCCTTACTCCCTTACTCTCGTCTGCCAAATTTTTCTTTAAAAAAAAAAAAAAAGGATACATTGATAATTTTCACTTTTCATCTTTGCATGCATTAGAGTCCTTTGAGTCCATGTTGAAGAAAGTGAGAAAAGCAATAACCCTTGGAAAAGGGGCGGACATCTTTGAAGAAACATTGCATAAAGGGGAAAAAAAAAGAGTGGAGAATAATTCGCACCAAGCAAAATTTGGAGAGTCCAAAACCAAACAAATATCATCATCAAAGCCGTACCAGAGGCAGAGGAGAAAAAGACACCTCTTCACTCACTAGTGGCATTACTCTCAGCAGTCGTCTGGTATGCTTTGTTTGCTGCATAGCAAAATTACCGGTAATGGTGAACCTCAAACCTTTGACTTCCCATCTTCGACAAACGTCAGCCAATGAATTATATATTCTAAACTCGGTAAACGGTAAACCAACTCCCCGCCTTCCGCTCCCACCTCACTCTTCTCCCCTCTCTCTCTCTCCCTCTCTCTTTTTTCTTTCTCTTCTCAGATTCTTGTTTGAGTTTTATCTAAAAAGTAGTTGATCCCAGCTGGTATTGGTTTTCTAGTACTCGTTCTCTTTTTATAGTCTCCGCACACACACTCAAACACACGCCTGTTTATGACACTATCAACCCTTTACTAACTGCAATTCTTCCCTCATTTCTCCTACAAAAAACATATTAGAACTGCTAAAGAAAGGTGGTGTGTATGGTCTAGATATACTTGCATTAGAGGAATTGAGATCCTGCTGATCATCAGGGGTTGCATCCAACAGGGTAAGTGGGAATTGCTTGTTTCCTTTTCTTTGGTGTCTTGAAGGCATATTACATGTATTGGTGCATGATTCCTTTGCAATCCAATTCAATTTTAGTGGCGAAAGTTTTGATTTTTGAGAGCTTGACTTTGTTATGGTGATGGTTTCTGTTGTGGGATTTCTAGAATTTTACTTGCAGTACTTACTAGACTCGTATTGCTGCAATCATGATTGGTGATACGTCTAATGGAAGGAGAAATAATTGATGATGCTTTATACAGAAGAGCAAATCTTTTAGAGATTTTGATCGAACTGTAACTAATTATTGCAGCTTTTCTTTAGCGGTTATACAAGTTCAGAATGCAATTTTGGTTCTTCTATGTTCGTGTTTATTAGGTTTTTTCTAAAGCAAGTTAGTGGAACAGTAATTACTTACTAACTCATTTAGTTTGCAGAAGTTTCGTTGATCAAAGAAATGGTACAATGTTGTAGGCCAAAAGAACCTAGAGAAATAAGAAAATGATAGAGATTTCTGCCAGCGTACATGTACTCCAATAGTTCGACTAACTTTTATGGATCCTCGGCTTTCTTATTATATTAGATCTGTGGGTAGAGTTTCTACGCTTTCTAGTTGTGCTTTTAGAGAAATTAACAGTGGTAATAGATTTCAGTTATATTTAGGACTTCCAAACCTGCACAGTAAGGGGCTCCAGATCGTTGCATGAATCATCTTGTGAGCTTGATGCTCGCAAGGTTGGGGCTCCTCTGTGTGTGCGTGTTTTTCCCCTCTTTCTGTCTTTCTACCCATTTACCTTACCTAATCTGGTTATAAAGAAATCAAGGAAGGCATGAATGGGTCTAGACCTTTTTCCATTCATATGTAAATTGAACTAAACGTGTTTTTTTTTTTTTAATATCTTTGCTCTTACAGTCAAAATTTTCAAAAAATAGCTAATATGCATTTGTCTTAATTTAGAAGATTAATTTAAAAAAAAATCTTTATCTATATATTACGATATTTTTTCTCAGGTTGAAATATGCATGGAGAGGTGATAAATGATGCAAAGAGAGGAATCGAAATTAGCTTTGGGTATCAATGCAGCTACGAGAATGATAACAATTTATCAAATGGAATTGACATCCCTTGTGCAATAAAAAGCCAAAAAACCAATGGTTCATTCTCTTATTTGTCTGGTGCTGCTTTAAGTGCCAATGCCACATTGGCGAACACAAACATTTGCAACGGATTGATTGGGGAAGAAATATTGCCAACATGGGATTCTCCTAATTCATTTCGGAGGATTCCCTCATCTCCATCTCTCTCAAGGTTGGATCTGTTGTCATCTTCTCTTCAAAGTAGCATGTCAAACTTGAGTTGCAGTCCATCGACTCCTAATGAGCTATATGGCTATGATTCCTTTTCTCCAAAGTCAACTAGTGCTCCAAAGAGTGATGGCTTCCTGAACACAACAGAAGTAGAAGTTGCAGGCGGTGCTGCTGGAGAAGATCGAGTCCAAGCTGTTTGTTCTGAAGAGAATCGATGGCTCTTTTGTGCCATATATGATGGCTTCAATGGAAGAGATGCAGCTGATTTTCTTGCTGGAACGTTGTATGATACAATAGGATATCATCTTAACTTACTAGACTTGGAACTTGATCAAGCAGTTATTAAAGCATCTGACTTGTCAAATGCTAATAAATATATCCCTTATGTCTGTGAAGATGACAATTGCTTTGTGACTAGAGATTCATTTGTGGAGCTTGAAAAATCATGCGGTCTAATTAAGGAAAGAGTGCTTGGTAGTCTTCAACGTGCTCTTGCTCAAGCTGAGAATGATTTTCTACACATGGTTGAACAAGAAATGGAAGACCGCCCTGACTTAGTGTCTGTCGGATCTTGTGTATTGGTTGTACTTCTCCATGGAAAGAACTTGTACGTACTAAATGTAGGTGATAGTAGAGCTGTATTAGCGACATGCGGTGAATGCAGTGACATGAATTCTGATGACGGGCTACTAGCTGTGCAGCTCTCTGATACTCATACTGTAGACAATGAAGAAGAAAAAGCTCAACTTTTACAAGATCATCCTCATGACTCATCAATCATTGTAGGTGGAAGAGTCAAAGGGAAGTTGAAGGTCACTCGGGCGCTTGGAGTAGGCTACTTGAAGAAGGTAGAGTAACATGATTTTTTCTGCATTTGAAGGATTGCCGTCATATTGCGAAAATTACCAAAATATGCATTACCTGTAACCATATCATATCTACATGCTACTATTTTGTACAAGGACTTGAGAGATGTTCTACTGAATTTTTAGATAATTCATCCATTTCCATATCTGCTCCATTCTTTCCTTGCAGAAGCATATGAATGATGTTTTGATGGGCATCCTTCAAGTTCGCAATCTTCTCAGTCCTCCCTACATATCTGTACAACCATCACTAAAAGTGCATGAAATTTCTGACTATGATCACTTCGCTGTTCTTGGGAGTGACGGTTTGTTTGACTTCTTCAGCAATGAAGAAATTGTAAAGCTTGTCTATTCTTATATTTCAAGTTACCCTTCTGGTGATCCAGCAAAGTTCCTTGTTGAGCAGCTTCTTGTAAGAGCAGCAGACTGTGCAGGTATGACCCTTGTGTTATATATTTTTTTTTCTTTTTCAGTTTTTGTGTTGAGGATCAAGGATCAGCAGAGTTCTAAAGGAATTGAGCATAAATTTTTAAATATTTTAGTGTAAAACAATTACACCTTACTCTTCCATGCTAAGAAGATGAAAATTGAGTTTTCAAATTTCTTGGGAATTGGCTACTCAGATTTTTATTCTTTCTGGTATCTTTTAAATCTGTATTTATTGAGTGGAAACCAATTGCATTACTTGGACTTCCATGCCCTACTAGATTGATTTTTTTTTTTTTAAAAGGCGTATTTTCAATAATTGGGTTGTGGGAGCTGTATCAGTTGGATATTAGTAAGAAGTTTTAGTAATTCTGTGCAGGTTTCACAATTGAGGAGTTGATGAGTATTCCAGCTGGTAGGAGGAGGAAATATCACGATGATATTACAGTAATCGTGATAATCTTGGGGATGAATAAGAGAACGTCAAAAGCATCTGCACGCTTATTATGACTGCAAGAAACTAGAAAAGGAGGGAGGAAAGTTACTCTTTTTTGTTTGGCATTTGGTAGGATAAACTACTATTGATTTGGATTGTATATAATTGCTCTTGTTCATTAAGCATCTCCATCAAACATCTCTATCAATCTGTATAAGTTATAAATTGTTCTCCAATTTCATCAATTGTTTTAAAAGCTTCAGTCGGTGTGAATTCCAAAAGGGGTTTTTTTTGGGTATATTTTGTAATCTCAATTTTGGGATCATAGGTAGACAGGAGGCTTAAAAAAGAAGCAATTTTAGATATGAAGAATCTTTTTTTTTTTTTTTTGGGAAAAAGGGGGGCGGGGGTTGCAATATGAAGAATCTTTATAAACAAAAGTAGTGAAGAATTTTAGAGGAAACTGTGTCCTACATGACGTGCTAATCTTTTGGGGCCTCTTCCTATCAAAATATTTAGCTCCAATTCAGGAGAAAAAGATTCGCAGTGCAGGTTATTATTGGTCGATCCAGTCTCATCATGTTTCGTCTTTGCATATTGACATGATTCCTCTTGTTAGTGCTCAACTTTGTACCCTCTGGACCTTTCAAGAATTCCAAATGTAATCTATGCCTGCTACTTTAAGTGTTTCCATGCCCACCAGTAAACGAAGGACCTAGCTTGCACCACATCAAAAAACCTCTCTGATTCCCCCTATAGGAGATCCAAGACAATTCCTTGCTGCTAAGTTATAATGGAGTGTTACTTTATTTGCTTGGGTATGGTAAAACCATGAATTGAATGGTAACGAGTAATTTACAAATGATCAAAGAAGTACACACTAATCATCGTTGCTGAGGTACTTGAGATTCGAATAGGTGAAGTTACAAGTGTAGTTTTTTTTCATTATCTTTTCCCTCCTCCTCCTCCTTTCCTGTTTCAGGTGGGAAATGTGATAAATCTTTACACTAAAATCCAGACAGCTGTGTGGTAACTGAAGTGAAAACTCCATTATGATCGAGGAGGACAAGGGTAGAGTTTCAGGTTTCAGCTGTCTTTGCTGGCTTATGTACCCAAACCATCATTGCGAAGTGCCTCTAGTCAAATGATGATGCAGGCTTCCTTTGGACGGACCAGAACAATCAAGAAGTACTCGATTATTGAATAATACCCGCTCTTGCCTCTCGGCCTTTCGAGAGATTTGAAACACAAATATTCAAGCAAGCATGTCTATTCCATTTCAGCTTCCGAATGTCAAATGGGATTTTAGAGAATAAAATCAATAATGAGAGCTCTGACCTTATGAAGTTAGCTCTACCACATAAAAAGAAAATGATTTTCTGTGGGGAACGGCCTTCAATAGGATATGATTTTGATCAAAGGATGGGGTGTGAATGAGATGCGGCATTCTTGTGAGGAAGAATAAATAGTCAGTCTCCCTGTGAATATTCTTACATGTAAGATTAAGCTGAATTATTCCATTTGTCAAGAGCCTGCTTTAGCTTTCAGCATTTAAGGAGGCTATAAGAGACCACCCGATATGAATTCCAACTTTATATCTGCAACTGTGGTTTGGAATCTGTGCTCTAAAACGATCCCATTTTTTGAGAGTCCTTGAAGTGGAATAATTTCAACTTTCAAGCAGAAGCTGTTGACTTCCTTTATACTCCTTAGTTAGTATGACTCCACGGACAAAATGCCATTCTTGTTTTTGTTGTTTTGGGATTAAAGCCAGCAGAAAGTTCAAGAACAATAGGTCCATGGTTAAACTTTAGCGTCACTGATCGAGATTATGTCCTAAATTGTAACCTGCTTGACCAGGGATTTAAGTAGGAACTTGTTTTGTCAATTGGGAAGTCGAAAACGGGAGCAAAAAGCTAGATCACACTTTGGTTTTCCTCAATCGGGTTTGGTCAATTGGTAAGGCTTGTTCGCTTTGCCTAAGGAGTGCTCAGATTTGAGTCCCGCTGCCAACAATCTCCTGTATAGGTAGTAGGTGAATAGATGCATCAATTGCCTGCCCTAGCCTCGGAATGGGATCAATTCCCCTCTACTTAACTCTCATCTTCCCACCCCCCCCCCCCCTCTCCCCAACAACAAACAACAAAAAAAAAAAAAATGGAAGGGACCTCTAGTTTTCCATTCCACTATGTTATGTAGCATATTACTTGAGATGTCGCCTTGTGTCTGGTACATAAGTGTATCAACATCTAATACTGAAATATTATTTGAAATAATTACTGTAGCACTTTCTGTAACGTGATGTATGTGAGATAAAAAATAATTAAAAATATACAAACATGAATTGAGAAATTCGTTTATGATACAACCGAAATATTACGTGAAATACTTCAGCAATCCGAACACATTCGAATAGCCAATTTTTTTCAAATAATATTTCGTTTGCATATATTTTTATATTTTCAATCAACTTCTTATCTCACATATATCGCATCACAAAAAGTGCTTCAGTATATATTTTAAATAATACTCTATCGCAATACACTTACATTCTTGATCACAAGGTGACTAGTCTTTGCACCGGCTTTTTGCAGTAATTTTCAGTGGTCAGTTGCTTCAATTCATCAGAAGAAGTAGTAACCCACAACAAACTCTAGGAACGGGCATCGGGGCAAATATAGTACTCCACTAATACAACTCTATAAGTTCATCGGAAGTTCCAAAAAGTGAGACAGATAGTCATTAGTCATTACTAATCTAATCTCTGAATCCTAAGCAAAATTAAAGGTACATCAGGAAACTCAAAAGGTGACGTTGACTCCCCATTCCTGCATTGCCTGCACTATGTACAGTTTCTTGATGCACACAAAAGAAAGTTCCCACGGTCTCAGTCTTGAAATCTCAAAATACAACATCTTCATCTTAGCAGGATGATCACATTATATAGCATCCATTAGGGTTCTCATCGCTCAAAATCTCAAACGAACTCAGTGCTGGAGCAGGGTACTCTGGATAAACCTCTGGGTAAGTACATGCATACAGGTATGGTGATGGGGACATATACCAAATTGGACCAGTGCAGGTGGTTGGGTGTGCTGCGTTGTAACTCACGACATATGCTTGATAAGGTGAATAACTTGGTGGATATTGGAACATATGCTGATTTGAAGGGGTGAGATTTATCTGATCTGTAACCTGATTAGGACTCGTCACCCTTGGACCTTCCACTCCTGTGCTTGAGGGAGCAAGAGCAGATGCTGAACCTGCATTGCTGTTATTGTTGCTGTTACCTTTTTTCCCTTTCTTTTTCTTCTTTTTTCCATGTCCTCCTGCTCCGCCATTATTCTTTTCTGCACCACCCCCATTGTTAGCGTTGCTTTTTTGTTCACTTACCGGAGATTTTTCTGCAGTAGCCGGAATGCTTCCAGGCAACTTCCCATCAATCTTTATCTCCCTTTGATCTCCGGCAATTCCATCAACTCCGGCAAATCTGACAACTTTTGTACCTTTTTCACTGTTCTTAGCAGGGTTGACGTTTGCTTCCATGTTCCCAGCTGGACTTTCTTCCTCTTCTTCTTCACTGTTCTCACCATTTTTTGAGTCACCCCCTTTTTCATTGCTGCTTGATTTCCCTGATTTTTTATCTTTTCCAGCAGGTTTTTCAGGCCACAACTCTGCATGTTTCCCTGTTTTGAGTAGTTTCCTTATCAAAGTCTGTGCATCAATATTCCCCGTCACAGTGACTTTATGCTGTGAATCAATAGCAACTGCATAGACACCTGTACATGCAAAAACGAAGTCCAAAAAGGGCTACGGCTAAATTTCTCAGAAACTCGAGACAATAAAAGAGTTCTTTTTTTTTTTTTTGAGGTTTCAAGGTTAACTCTCTGTTTTAGGAAGATATTTTTGTCATATCTTGCAGGTTTTGGCTAGGAAATCCAGCAGAATGATGAAGGGAACATGTTATTGAGAATTAAAGAGTACCTTCAATGCTTTGTAGAACTTTCTTGACTTTCGTCTTGCAGCCTTGACAGTGGATAGATACCTTTAGAGCCCATGTCTGAAAAAAGAGAAGGAATATTTGAGCTTTAAAAGTAGAATACAAATGAAATTAACTAGATACTTGCAGAAACAACCACAAATAGCATAAATTATACCTGATATTGTAAAGGTTCTTCCATGAGTGTGTGTTGTGTGTGAGAGAGATGGAGAGTTTGGGGACTTGGGAGAAATGAAAGCTTGAAGGAGGAGTGAATGCCGCTGCTTAAGGAGACCTGAGTTGAGTGCCTTGTTTGTTAGTCCCAAGTGTACTCTCCCTACAGCGGGAAAAGTGCGGAAAAGGAGGGGAGGGCGGGGTTCACTATCAACTATAGCCAAAGTCGATATGATGAGAATGACACAAGAATAAGATGCCTGTTCTTCTTGAGCATGCATCCGTCCCTTCTTCGAGGGGAAAATACTTGGACAGTTGGATATACTTCATTTATTGCAGATCATGTATTTGTTAGGCATTAATTTTTTTTAAAATCTGCATGTATTCAATTTTTTTTTCTTAAATCTGCATTAAATGTCATCGATATTCTTTTAGGATGTAAAATTTCGATGGATATGGTGCACATTTTCATGCTCTATTACGCTATCAAGTACTAGTAACCATCGTGAATCGGGTCGTCATAAATAAATTTCCTTGCGGAATTGTTCACAGTAACCAAGGCTAATAAATTAATGATCCTTTTTTGTTGTTTTGACTGCGGATAGAAGTCTTTTTCAAAAATTAATTTTTTAAATACAATAAAAATTTTTAAAAAGTACGTAATCTAAAAATTTGTTTAATTTTTTTTAAAAATTTTAAAAAATATCTCAAAATATATTCTAAAAACTCTTCTACTCTTAAATATCAAAAAATATTTTTCTGAAAATATCCCAAAATATAATCTAAAAACTCTGCTACAGCAAAAAATTTTAAAAACACCCCAAAAAACAGCTAATCCAAACAGAGTCCATGTTTACATTTTCCGGTCAAGGGTACTTCTTCTCAAATTACAATATTTGATTAATTTAACGCTTAAACAGCCATATTAAATATTAATGACGGACAATAGACATCAACCATAAAACGTTTGCTAGGATCTATGAGTTTTCTATTCTATGGTTTCTAAATGCTTTTGGCAACAAGAGTTTGACCAAACAAATTGAACCACAAGTGGTGCTTAGGATAGAGTTTGTCAAAGCAATTGATAATCTATCATTAAACTATCATCACCAAATTTGACAAAGAGGTAGTATCGGAGGTAATTCCTCTTCTTGATAAAAAGCACAATTCATTAACAATTGTCCAGCATGATTTGATTTACGTCGAACATGCATTAGAAAAAACATAATAGATCAGATTGCAATTTAACAGATGCAATAGATCTGAAAAATTTTTCAGCGGATTTGAAATATATAAAGAAATTTTCAAATTGTCTTCTAGCAAGATAAATCATCAGATGCAATCAATAGATATATAAAAAAAAAATTCAACTCATTTGAAACATATAAGAAATTTTTTTACGTTGTCTTCTAGTAACAAGATAAATCATTGCAGCTTCCTTTGCTGCAGCTCTATTTTGCACGTAACAGAATTAAGTCGATTCCTATCACCAATATACGCTAGAGTATTCTCGGCTTCTCTTATTTTGTTCTAGGGAACAAGAACACCTCCACTAATTAATGGTGGTTTTGCAAAGGAAATGGCCTGGGACTGGAGGAAATTTTTGTGGGGGTGGCCGGTGGGGTTGGAGAAAAGTTGAGAGGATCAACGTCTGGGAATAAGGGTAGTCACACACACAACTTGCCCTGTTGCCCAATCCCATGCTCCATCATCATCGATGTACTCCTTCCGTCTCACTTTAATAATTTTAATTTTTTTTCACACAGTTTAAAAAAAAAGTAGTTAATTTTGTTGGAATAATCAATTTAGGTAACTATTTTTCTAAAATACCCTCACATTAATTAGAGTACAACTTTATGGGAACTTGAATTGATGGTAAAAAAAAGAATCAACTCTCATTAAATATGGTAGGTTTATAGTAACAACAACTTATATTGAATAAGGATATTTTAGAAAAATTAAAATATAACTGCATTCTTCAATTGGAAAGTGAATTATAATTTGGGACAGACGAAAAAAAAACAGGATTATCAAAGTGGGACGGAAGAAATAATTGTTAAATAGCCAAGATATCTTTTGCTTACGGGTTTCGGCATGGAATTGCTTGACTTGGCTGCCTCCTCCAGCGCCAAAACAAAAGTATTTCTAGCCTTGTGGGGTTGGCATCATGAATGAATGACCAATTAATTAAAACGTACTATAGAATTCCCAATTGACGACAAGGACACCTATTAAGAACGAGGGCACGAGTCCTTTCAAAAAAAAAAAAAAAAAGAAGAGTGAGGGGTCCTGGAAAAGATTGAAATTACTAGTGTTTGTTACCAAATTATTTCTATGATTTATCACGGTTAATTACTACTAATAACGATTGTTTTTATTTTTATGTAATTTTAATCTTTAGAATTTCTAAGAATCAACGATCAACATTATTATTTCATTCGTCCTCATACTTTTCATTTTAAAATGTCTTAAAACAATTGTTATGTTAGAAAAGTCAAAACATCTTTTGGTTTCTTTTTTCAATGTATCATTTCTTTCTAATCATATGCACGTTACCGTTCAAATTTAAATTTTGAATTTATGAGGGTAAAATTGAAAAAAAAAATGCACAAACATCGCGATCAAATCACTATTCTTAAAAAATTGAATTTTCATGACAAAATAGATGGTACGAAGGGTGTACTTCATGCATGTACAGCGCTATATGGTTCAGAGGGGGAGTAGCAGCAGTATCCATGGTTCCCAGGTTAATATAATGGAGTGACAAAATGCATTTTAGAACCAATTTACTCGAAAATCTAGCCTGGGTAAATGCCCAAATTGACATCACTTAATTCTTCTAGTGCACTACTATTATTATTACCAAAAATAATACAGATATATTCCATATATATTATTGTTAAATACATAGTGGGTATTGCATCTTTTTTTTTTTGTTTTGTTTTAGAGAAGCCTTTTCTACAATTATTATGAGATCGACCAATTGAGTACACCAAGAATGCAATTCTACCGTACGGTGAACTTTGCTGCCTTTGCTTTTTCAAAGTGACGAGAAGTGGGGTGGCAGCAGAATGTACGTCTTTTGCTTTTCTCTGTCTTTTCCTCCTTGTACCATATGCCCCCAATTGATGCATGCATGCAAACAAATACTACACTACTACTTAAAAAGTTTCCATTACACAATTATTATGTTACACGCTCCAATCTGTGTCCGAGCTACCATGTATTTGCAGCAATTATCCGTGCTTTTATTCAGGAATTTATTCACTAGATTTTTAACTTTTCAACCCCTACTAGCTGCACTCGAGATGAGTGTATTGACCGTTGCTTCAAGATGTGTATAAAATCCTGTGGAAAGGTTTCAGAATCTACGTGATAAAATGACAAGAACGTAAATCAAATCTACATGTTTGGGTTCGGCTACAAAGTCATTGAGCCTCTTTAAGTCGGAGACCACAAAGACTACAGAAATCCCGGAGAAAAGACTACGAAAATTCATGCTCACAGGCTAGCTTTGGTGTCTTTCGAAACTCTACTGCCTCAAAAGTGTGTTTCGAGTGTCAAACGAAAGAGTTATGGGATTAGGTAGTAGTACTACTATCTAGCACTACTTTTTTTTTTTTTTTTAATACAGAAAGTGTTCCAACTTTGTCAGATTAATTTCCTTGTGCCTGTGCACCCCGCCTTCAAGGATACACAAGCGATAAAGAAATCACTCGAACACACGATCTCGAGACCTAACTAGACTACTCCGAAATAAGAGTTGAGTGAGTGAAATGAATACCCACCAGGCACCAGATGAGATGTAGGGCCAAAGCAACGCCAAGGTAAAAGTGGAACACACCTTTATCAACTTGAATTGTGTCCCTTTTTTTTTACTTCTTTTAACCATGAATGATTGTGTGGATTCCCCTGCAGGCCTAAATATAGAATCTTAATGTTTCAAAAATAAAAGATCATTGAACAAAGATTTTGTGTGTGCAATTAGGCAGGTTAAACTTACAAAAAAGGACTAAAAAATCCCTTATTGTCCAAGGGCGACTTCAAATTTTTGTTTGATTGCTAAGTAGTTTTTTTTCAAGGTGTCTAATTGTGTCCTTCCCATCAAACTTTTGGAGGCAAAAATAAATGGTCCCCCGCATTTTATTAGGACACGCAGATCAGCCTTACAATTAGTAAATTAGAATCGATTTCTTTCAGAGATATATTAGTTTGTTGATGAAGGATTTCGTACATGGATAGGGAAAATAATACAAATTACAACAGCCTAGCTAGAGAGGCAGCTAGACGTATGTTCATTGGATTTAAGTACTTCTGAGGAGAGCTTCACCAATTTCTAGACAAACTGACTGGAAACCCTTCCTGACAATATAACTAGTTGCCACTCAAGCGTTCACACGTCTGAGCTAATAAGCTCAGAAACAGACATGATGATGCCGAACATAATCTAGCTATTAACCTCTTCCTTATTTTCCTCCTTGGGTAAATCCTGATCTTTTTCATCCTTGACTTCAATCTTAGGAGCAACAGTCTCTTTATTTTCCACAGGAACATCCTGAAGCTGCAAATTTTTGAAAAGAGTAACATTGAGATACTCTAGTGATGATTAAAAGCAGGCAATTGGGATAACAGTTGATCAAGCAAGCAATGACATAATAGCATGGTCAAGCGATGTCATGATATAGCATACCCCAAGGTTTTTTAAGCTGGCAGTAACATCCTCCTGTTGCTGCCGCAGAGTAGTCCTCAAACCTTGAAATTCCTGGATGTACATTTTTTAACAACTATAAGTACACAGTCAAAACACCAAAAGCTTTTGAGAGACAGTAAAAATGGCCACTCACTGATCGAAGCTGATCTACTTCAACATTGAGGGATTTCTTGAGTTCTAAAAGCTCCTGCAGAAAGAAAGAAAATTAGGCAATGGAAGGGAATCCTACAATTAGTGCTGCTGTTTTCATTCAGCTAATTCTTCTACTGATCCCAAGGCCATAAGTGACATATTTCCAAACAAATGATCAAGGGGTACTTCACTAAAGGAGGGCAAGGCAATTGCAGTAGTCCATCTGGCAAAGAGTAATTTCAAACTAATTAGAACAGTCAATTTCCTGAAACTTATCAGCTGATACCAACGTGCGGGGCAGGCACCATTTTGAGACTATGAGGACAAGCAGCAGTGACAATTGAATAATTTTGTTTCCATTTGCAATGTCAAGCAGCTAAAACTAAAAGGTGCCATATGACAAACATACAATAGATGAGGTCAAATACTATTTTGCAGGCAGATAAAGCCAGACATACAATTACCAAATTCAAACTCATGGGGAATTGGAATGCTACCAGCACTAAAGAGAATCCTCCATGTATCTGCTGTTTACCTCACCATTTTCCATTTCAAATTTCCTTTTCTGCAGTAGTCTAATTTGAAGATAGCTATGAATACCTTTAATACCTTCCATTGAATTAGATCTTTAGTATAAGAATTTTGGTAAATCAATTGCATTTAACATATCTCACTTTGGCAAACTCAGATAAAGAATAATGTGCAGTTGGTCTTTTAACTCAAGATTAGCTTCCAGCAAAGATGCATTCAGAATTTCAAAAAACAACTAAATAATGTCACGAAATTATACGTGATAGGAAGCAACAAAAAGCAAATTCTGAAACTTACATCACGGTAGACCTTAACCTGAGTGTCCAACTTAGACCTCCAACTTTGTAGATCCTATAGCATCAAACAGGAGACATCAACAAAACTAAAGCATAAGCTTTTAGGTACACAAACCACAATAAGAAACAGAGTGTGAGATATGACATTACCTGTTTCAAATTCTGAATTCTGTTGAGCAGCTCTTGCCTCGATTCATTCAATTCCTGCAGTCAAATGCATTTACATCTCAAACATCAATGAGGTCATTTGTTGAACAAAATTGACAACAATGAAAAAAAGCAAAGATCAAAACTTGCAAGTTGGTTCTGTTCATTCTGAATATCTAGACCACAGTCACTAACCACTATCTAGTATCCACCAAAGAGAAAAGCGCAACATCATCAAGTAAAGATCAAAACTTGAACATAGTTTTTTCTGCTGATGAAATTCTAAAGCCACTATCAGGAACAATCCTCTGAGACGAAGGTACAACCGTGAAAAAGACTAATGTACACCACAAATCAACTTGCCCAGTAGCAATCATTTATTGCACCTTACTTCTGCAAGCTTATCAATTAAAGATCAAATCTTGAATCCGGATTTTCCTCATTCTAACCAAAATTTTAAGCCATTGCGAAAAATCATCCTCTGAGGACGAGGTGCAGCCTTTGAAAGCCTAACGTACGACCTAGATCGAGACAAGATGAACCTTTGTCGGGCAAATGAAAATAACAACAAACTCGAAAGAAATTAAAACATACCGCAAGCTTAGGAGTAACGGGTACATTTTCTTTCTTCTGCGAAATTCAAAGAATGTTAAAGAGACAGAAATCACTAATGTCAAAAAAAAAAAACACTAAGTAAGCATAAAAAAAAGCGAGCAGATACCGCGGAGAGAGGGACGGCAGGAGAGGGGGTGGGAGCTGTGGCGGCAGAAGGATTGGAATCGGAGGTAGCCATGGTAGATTTGGGAGGAGAAAATGTGGGATGGATTCAAATTTGGAAGCAAAGTTTCTGAATTTTTTATTAGGGTTTTGAGATGTAGCTTCAAGACTGAAGATTAGAGCTAAGAAGAGGACAAAATGAATAATGGGAAGAAGAAACCAAAACGGAAGTCAAGTACTCCAACTGCTATAGTTCAAAAACACAAGTAATGTGGCGGTTTGGGCGGGCGAAATTACTCTAGTTTAAGAATTTGAAAAAAAAAGGCGAGGAAAACTCTGTAGATTAATGCTAGAAAAAAGAGATGAAAGCTTGGGGTTGTACCGTGAAGGCCTAAATTCATGTTTCAAAAGTGGATAATTGCATTTAACTCCTCCGACCTTTAGATGAATTGTTGTTTGTGGCCTCCAAAAAAAATTTGTTTTTTTAATGTTATGATTCAATTCAATCTCTCTTCAATCTTTAACTAATCATCAAAGCAAAGCATATAGAAAAGAACACTGCACGGAAGTTTGTAGATTAATCTCTTAAAATGTAAGTCGAATGATGCTTCACTTCATAACATTTCCACTGCATTGTTGTTAACTTAATGTTCAACCTTTTTCCTAATCTATGTAGACACAATCACTAAGGTAAATTTACATTACATCTTCTTTTTTTTCTTTCTTTCTTTCTTTTGGCGTTAAAAAAGGATTAGTAGTAAAATTTCCAATTCTATAATAAATTTGATGTGGTTATGATATGTGATCCTATCTATTTGTTCACTCTCACAAATCATCTATACCATATAATATAATACTGTCGAGAGCCTCTTGATATAAATTAAAAGCTATCATTTTATGATTTTTTAATAATTACCTTTCATATATAGTTGGCAGTGTTGTATCTCTTCCTACCTCTATTCTCATAACTATCCACTACCAAACACTAATAGTATATTTGCACATTATATATTATATGAATGTGAATTTTCTATGTATGTATTAAAAATATATATATATATATATAACCTGTTTGGCATGTGAATTTTTTGGGTGTTTGTCTAAAACTTTACTGTAGTTTACTGTAAAATTTTAAAAAAAAAAATTTTGAAGTGTGTTTTTTTTTTTTGAATATTTTGAAGTTTATAGTCTAAAAACTTTGAGAAATTTTTTGAAGTTACTGTAACTAAAGTTTTTAAAAAACTTGTAACAAACAAACTTGACAAAAAACTTATCTTCCAAACAAGGCCCAATTCTTACAAAAAAAATGGTTTCAATAAATATCTTTAAAAAATTTTAAAAAAATTTTTTGTAGCTGCAGCCTGCACACACATCATCGACTGTGCCTTGGACACGACCGCTCCTCCACTCACTCGACCCATTACCTTCAAGAAGTGGAGATTTGACTGCTATGGAATCCAGACCATGACATATCTATGAACTGTAGCAGCCCACCCCATTTCCAAGTGCAAGTTTTTTGACAATGCCCTTTGGAGCCCAGTGACTGTGATCCAAACAAGCCTTTCTTTCTTTCTTTTCATTTTATTTCTAGTCATTGAGGTTGGTGTCCCACACCAGAGACCAATAGGGCAAACATTCCACCATTAGACTACCATTGGACTACCTTCTAAACTCCAATATATATATACGTATTCCAAACTACAAAATATTTCAACCTTAAGCATATCAAACTCTTCTTATTCATGTTTGGTTTTGGGATGTGGAGGTACTTTCCTTTCGGGAATCAAAACTTGAGTATTGGAAAAATGTAAAGTATAAACTAACAGCAATCTCCATCCGGAAGAGGGATTTTTGTTCTGGAGTTTCGTCCCGCTACAATTTAAGCATAAGTCCGGAATTCTTGATCTGGACTTGTGCTTAAATTGTGGCGGGATGAGAAGCTCCAGAAGGAGAAGACTTAATGCTTAAATTGTAGTGGGGTCGTAGTTCCCCTTGGAAGAGTACGTCTCTCATAACGCACCACAGCTGAGCTTTTCAGCATCTTCCCATTTCTGTTCTTGTTCAGGAATTTCTGTCCCTTGTTCTTTAGGGGGAGTTTCAAGATTCAGTTAATTATACTTGGAAGAAAATAGCAGGTTATTCTAGCAAACAGAGCTAGAATATTAGGGGATTGTTTCGAGGAAATGCTTCAAGGCAAATTGTGGTTATGGACTTTCTAGTTGTTAAACGTGTTTAACTTTCTAGCATGTAGACTAAAAATAGCAGTTCTTTCATAAGCCATGCCATGCTGCTTCAAAGCATGTAGACCTTTCCTGCTTTCCAAGCCATGCTGCTTCCTTTCATCTCTGTCTTCATTTCCCAACAATTCCCCTTCCTTGACCTTTCCAAGTATCATATCATCCCATGTCACATTCTTCCCCCTAACCCCTCCCAAACAAACAAGCTGAAAGTATATTTCTTGTCCCCACCCCACAATAACTATCGTAAAAGCGTACCTTTCTTCTACCTGCAGCCAAAAAACATAATCAAATGCTGGTCCATTATGGCAGCCCACTCTTCAGTCTTTTCCCCCGGTGCAAATCATTTCCCACCGCTCTTGGCTGCCCTCTATTGACTTGGATCCAAGTCCATTATACTAGGCTAATCACTAATGTTACAGATTATTATTCACGTGAAGGTGAAGTTGCTGTTCGACTTTGAAACTTTTGCAAAGGTTTTTTAAGAGTTCTCCTTTAAAGCAAAACTTGTCAATAGTAAAAAGCATGCGAGGGTTAGAAATATGAAATAGGAGTCGAATGGGACTAATACAATACTTAGTGCACATAACTAATTTAATTTATTAATTCAGTCTGATTATTGTTTAGGTTAAACTCAAATAATTTCCATCAGATCAACATTAAGTATCTTAATCTTATCTGTATGTGGCGTGACTCAAAATTTACACTCGTTAGGCCAAATGGGAATATTTGATGGAACTAATCACTGCTTAATTTGATTTAATGGCTAATCAACTATTCTTTCACCCCGAGAGGCAACTCCACGATGCTGAGTCCTGTATTGAATGATTCAAACTGGAACGACACCGTGTTCCATGAAAATTCATCCTCCATTTTTCCAGTCTTGAATTTCTAGAAGAGTCCTTGCCTCCTTGGATGGCTTGAAAATATCAAAACAAAATTTCCCAAACGCGAAATGAGCTAGCTACCTTCGCAACAAAGCAATTGAAAATAATAAAAAATAGTTTCCTTTTACCATACTAGTATTATAATTGTTCTAACTTTTGCTAGTACTACAAATGAATAAATCAATCAGACAAAGATTTTCTAATTTCCCATCCCAGGACTGCTCTTCTCTAACGTTAAAAAGAACAAACAGAATCCTTCATTGAGTTTTGTCCAATTCTCGTGTTCGAGTGTGAAGATGGGTGGTCAAGAATCGTTTATATACAGCTTTGTTGCACGAGGTACAATGGTTTTAGCAGAGTTCACCGAATTCACCGGCAACTTCCCGGCCATTGCTGCTCAGTGTCTTCAGAGATTGCCTTCAACCAACAACAAATTTACTTACAACTGTGACCACCACACCTTTAACTTCCTCGTTGAAGATGGTTACGGCAAGTTCTTTTTTTTTTTTTTCCCCTTTTTCTTTCGGCTTTTTTGGATGAATTTCTTTGACCCCGTTATCTTATTTCGCTCGTGACACTGCAAAAAGCTGAACTTAGATTTTAAGTGGTTTGCTCTTCGTTTGGTGCTTTGAACATTTTTTGCCTAATTCAATTTTATGCATTTTTCTTTTATTTTTTCCTGAGAAATGAAATGAGTTATAGTAGTTGGGAAGAAAAAAAGAAGCTGAATTCAAGTTAAATATTTTGTGGGTTTTGTTGGATCTAGTGTTTGGAGTATAAAGGTGGAGTTTTTATCGTTTCGGAATCTAAAGTTTCCATCTTTAGCAAACAAATTAGTTGGCTTCTTTTGTCTTTTTATATTTTTACCTGTATTGGACTTACATGGATGAAGTTATTGGAATTATGATGATATGAGCGGGGATTGGGGGGAATAGGTGCTGCAAATGGTAATCGAGAGCCAAAGCCCAGCAAAACACTGGGGAAGGGTAGATGTACCACCCGGACAAACGCTCTCGCTTGTACATTTTAGTCGTTTGAGCTTTCTTGGTTTAATAAAGAAAACATTGAGGATTGCTGTTTAGAAAGATTGTTTGCTTAATTAAGCTGTGAAGATATGCAAAGCTCAATTTAGGTTTCTTTCATGGTTTGGAATTTTCGAATTCGTTTCATTGCTATTAAGGTTTAGTTTTTTTCTTAGCAATACATGGAAGCAAAGTATATTACTTGAGCGTTGAGTATGGATTGTGTTCAGGCAATTAGCAGGTTTGTAATGTTTATGTTTGGTGGTTGGCTGCCTGACATGGAATTAATGTAATTGGTTCATTAGCGCTTAAACTGAATACTGAAACATGTGGCAAAGTCATAAGAGAGTTCATATCTTCATGAACTTTAGGAGCTTAAATGCTTGGGAGTCTTGGAAATAGAGAGGACTTAAAGATGTGGTCCTGGGAAGACATCTGATTATCTTAACTGAAGCATTTAAGATGTTATGTAGCATTATAGTTTTAAGAGTTAGATTCAGTTTTTTCCTTTCAACTGTACAAAATTTTTGTACTGCCACATGATTGGGCAAACTAAACATGAAAATGAAGCACTCAGAAAAGATGCTTTTGGAATCGGCAGAGACCACAGGGAATACCAAAGATTAAACTTCTGATTGCTCTGTCATCTTTCATTCTATCTCCTGCACTTATCAGGAGTTTCTTGGATCAAATAAAAGGCAGGTAATGATGTCGTTCTGAATTGACTAAATAGGTTTGTGGTAACTCCATTATGTAGTTTACAGATAGCTATTTTGGTTACACATACCACCCTTGTCTTTTATATCATTGTTTTGGTGCTTATCCTAGGTTGAATCTGTATAAAAGAACTATGGCTGTAAGTTGTCATTATAATCTGCAGTTGCTACATGTTTTCCTGGAAAATTTTGGCAGAATTGCACTCTGATTTTCCTACAATGTAATTCATACTTAATGCTGATTTCATGTTACGACACAAAATTGAAGTCATATGACATTTTAAGGCATGTGCTAGCTTTCTTAGAGTTCAATATCTATGAGGTTTATTTCGCATCCTATAGGTGGTGTTTCTCATTGTCTTGACCTCGTCAGGTGATGGATCTAATTAAATGTATTTTTCATTGGCTTCGACTCTCTTATTTTGATGTTATTACACCATGCAGCTTATTGTGTTGTTGCCAAAGAGTCTGTTGGGAAGCAGATTT